TTTTAACATATATAGCCCTAAAATACACTTTGTTCTTCTTCTTCTTCTTTTTTTTTTCTTAGTTATAAAATGAAAAATAATTATTTTTTATCTCTTATTTCTTATATCATTTTATTCATATATCATACTATTCAAATTTAAAACCTTTTACATTTAATAAATTAAACAGAGATAACCTCTTATATAATTTATTAAGTGTTTTTTTTAATTATTATTTCATTTATATCATCTTACCACGCAGCAAAAAATAAAAAATAAAAAAGGAAGTATGCAGCAAGCAAGACACTCCTCCTAGACTAGACGACACCACCGCGGCGCCGGCGGAGACCGCCTGATCGACGACGTAACTCCTTCCAGTCCCTCCGCCTTCTTCCTCCGATCTCCAGAATTTTGGCGACGAGACTATTCCTAGATCTCACTGATTCACCCACGCACGCGAACTCCCCCTTCGCGTTTTCTGATCCGCAGATTTTTTCTCGAGGAAATCGCATTTAGATCTCTCGGGGAAGGTTTCCGAACACACCATACCACGCCGGAACCGACGAATTTGTTGCTCTCCGTCGATTCAATTCTCCGGTAAGGTTTTAACTTGCAGTATATGCACTGGTTGCTCTTGGTTCCCTATTTTGGATTGAAATTCCATAACTCAGTCAAACGATGCTATGAAACTGCTTAATTCTTAGTATTTTGGTGTTGCATTTTGATTGAAGTTGCCGTAATTGAGATTGGTTGTTAATACTTCATTGTTAAGACTCTTAAGAGGTTCCCTTTACTTTAGCAGATTTTAGTTGGTTTTTTTTTTTTTTGAGGCAGTGATTATGAATAGATGAACAAAATTTTTTTGCTTTATTGTTGTTTCCTTATGGTGAATTCAGGTATAATCTTCTTGAAGTAAATCGTTTCTTTGAAATTCAAAATTATGACCTTGAATTAATCACACAAGCAGAAGCAGTGATCGGCTTGTTGGGGTGCATTAGTGGCAGAGGTGACACTTTTTATGCATTTTTGGTGTAGAATCAATTCTTACTTGTTTTATTGGCTGCATATAATGAAAAATGTCATTTAAATTTGGGAAAAGAAGTTGGATTATGAAAAATATTCATAGCAGCTTCCTTTATGCATTTTTTTTCAAACTTAATGTGCTAGAATATGAAAAGTTCTGGGGATTGGATTGCTTTTTCTTTTTTTCCTTTTTAATGCCATTTAGTCATGAAAGTGGAACGTTATGAGCCTCTTGCCTGTCTTACTTTCTTTATGTTGTCCCTTATACTAAACTGGAAAGATTTTATCTACAAAGTTTCTGGTTATAGTCATGTACCGTATTTAATTTTTAGTCTGTTTTATATTTTGAACACCCATAACTTAGATATTGCTTCTCTCAGCAGGTTTTCGGTTTTGTCAGCTTATATATAGCCAGAAGAAACTTGTCATTTAATGAAAGCAATGGGGACTGAAAACCCTGGTCATCCAAATTTTCCCGTGAGACCTTCTGCCACCCCTTTTGCTTCTGCTCCTCCACCTGTAACACCATTCTCATCATCTGGCCCTGTAGCATCAGAGGGCAACAGCTTTAGGGCTGCTCTACCAGCTGCTCCCCAGGGTATGACACCATATTCATCATTCGGGTCTGCAGTTGGTCAAGATGCTTCTGGTTATAGGCCCAGTCCTCCTGCCCGGTTTAATGATCCATCTGTGTCTTCTGTGCCCACATCGTTTGTCCCACCTACTGGAGCATCTTTCCAGCAGTTCCCTACACCACAGTTTCCCTCAACAGCACAAGCTCCCCCTGCTCGTGGACCTCCAGTAGGGCAACCTCCTCTTCAACCCCCTGCATCACAAGTACCATTCCGTCCACAATCATCTATTCCTCCGGTATCAATGGGGTCTCCACCACCTAGTGTGAATTTTCCAACTGGTGTATATCAGTCAGATTCATCATTTCCAGGAGCCAGGCCTAACTTTCCGCCATCTTTTCCTTCTGCGGGTTCCTCTTATCCTGCTGCAAGAGCTACATTGCAGCAGCCTATGCCCGGATATGCAACTAATCAGGCTGCAGTTCCACAAGCTTCCCCAGTGCCATCTGCTTTTCCCACTCAACCAGGAAGTTATATGCCTCTGCCAACTTCTCTGTCCCCCTTTTCTGCTCAACAAGGAAGTTATTTTCCTGCTCCACCAGCAGCAGCCCTCCAATCTAGGGACCAAATGCAACACCCAGGCTCTATACCTCCTGTAGGTGGCATTCAAAGTTTGATGGAAGATTTCAGCTCTCTTTTTCTTACCTCTATGCCAGGGTCTATTGAGCCAGGACTTGATTCTATGGTGCTACCTAGGCCGCTGGATGGTGATGTGGAGCCAAAGTCCTTTGTTGAGACTTTTCCTCTGAATTGTAATCCTCGATATCTACGGCTCACTACTACTGCCATACCAAATTCCCAGTCTTTGGTTTCAAGGTGGCATTTGCCTCTTGGGGCGGTTGTTTGCCCCCTTGCTGAAGCTCCAGAAGGGGTTAGTGTCCCAGGAATCAAATCCATTTGCATTTGAGAATCCTATAATTTTGATGACTCATGCTCTGTCACTTGCTGTTTTTTGTTCAGGAGGAAGTTCCAGTAGTTAATTTTGCTTCAAGTGGCATTGTTCGTTGTAAAAGATGCAGAACTTATGTGAATCCATATGTCACATTCACAGATGCTGGAAGAAAGTGGAGATGCAACCTATGTTCGTTGCTTAATGATGGTAACTCGGTTTACTTGTATACATTGAAACATGTCTGGTATTTCTTAATTTTCTTTTCACCAGTTGACTTCATTGTGTGATAGACCTTGTTCTTTATTTGTACTTTTTAAGAGTTGGTATTGAAATGTTGTATGTTATTTGGTTAAATTCACATGTTCAGTTCCTGGTGATTATTATGCCCATTTGGATGCCGCTGGCCAAAGAATTGATTTGGATGAGCGACCTGAGCTTACAAAGGGTAGTGTGGAATTTGTTGCTCCTACTGAATATATGGTGCGGCCTCCAATGCCCCCGCTATACTTTTTTCTTATTGATGTTTCAGTATCTGCAGTCAGAAGTGGTATGATTGAGGTAAGCACTTCCAGATAAGTAGTATGTATTTTCCCTCTTGTTTTTGCTGTAACAAAGAAATGTCTTAGTGACCTTAAGAAAAACTGTTCATGCATAATTATGTTTCCTTTACCCACATGTTTTTTGTTTTGTGGAAACTGTGACTTTGCATATGGGGCCTTGCATCCCATTCCTCCTTTTCCCTCATTTGCCATGCCTCTTATATATGCTAGTTGGTTCTATTTGTAGGTTGTAGCCCAGACTATCAAGTCGTGTTTGGATCAGCTGCCTGGTTTCCCTAGGACACAGATTGGCTTTATTACATATGACAGCACAATACATTTTTATAACATGAAGGCAAGTGATTCTTGTCATGATGTGGAACACTTTTATGATATACATATCAATTCCCTCTCTGTTTCAGCCATAATATACTTCCAAAATAACTGGTTGTTTCTGGGCTTGCAGTCATCTCTGACGCAGCCTCAAATGATGGTGGTTTCGGATCTGGATGATATATTTGTCCCATTGCCAGATGATCTTCTTGTAAACTTGTCTGAATCAAGAACTGTTGTCGAAACATTCCTCGATAGCTTGCCTTCCATGTTTCAGGACAATTTGAATATAGAATCTGCTTTTGGTCCATCACTGAAAGCAGCATTCATGGTTATGGTATGTTTGCTCTTTCCACCTTCACCATTGAGACATTTCTTAGTGCATGATCAGTTGTTTATTACTTATTTCATTCTCATTGCATTGACTCCCCCATGACTTTCTTTCCAGAATCAACTTGGAGGAAAATTGCTAATCTTTCAGAACACATTGCCATCTCTTGGTGTTGGCCGTTTAAGGCTGCGTGGAGATGACTTTCGTCTGTATGGGACAGATAAAGAGCACGCATTGAGATTGCCAGAAGACCCCTTCTATAAGCAAATGGCTGCGGATCTTACTAAGTACCAGATAGGGGTTAACATTTATGCCTTTAGTGACAAATACACTGATATAGCTTCCCTAGGTATGCAATTATGTTCCTAGTGCACCGTTTATGTCATTTTCAACCATTAAATGTGGTGTTTATTTTGTATTTTCTGACTTGCTTTATAGGAACCTTGGCAAAATATACTGGCGGTCAGGTATATTACTATCCCAGTTTCCAGTCAGCAGTCCATGGGGAGAAGTTGAGGCATGAGTTAGCCAGAGATCTGACAAGGGAAACTGCCTGGGAAGCTGTAATGCGCATAAGATGTGGAAAAGGTCTGTCCATTCATGCTAGATAGCTGCCTTAGCTCAGGAAAATCTGCTGGAATTTAAATTGGCCATAATTCCAAGCTACTTGGAGTGAGGCACATGATTTTCCCTCTTCATTCATTCTTCATATTTTCCTGGAATTTATATTGGCCATAATTCCAAGCTACTTGGAGTGAGGCACATGATTTTCCCTCTTCATCCATTCTTCATAGATTAAGGCTTTTATTTAAACATTGATGGGAGTAGAAGACCTGATTTTTCCTTAGCCTTTTCTTTTATGATAAACGAAATGGCTGACTATTTTCTGTTTGGCACTTCCATTAGGAGTTCGGTTTACATCTTATCATGGCAACTTTATGCTGAGGTCGACTGATTTATTGGCACTTCCGGCCGTAGATTGTGATAAAGCATATGCGGTGCAGTTAACACTTGAAGAGACACTGCTTACAACTCAGACTGTATATTTCCAAGTTGCTTTGCTGTATCCTTTGGGGTGGGGATGGTGAATATAAGTTATGCATTGCATTCTTTTTCACATAAATTGAATGAAAAATTAATTATCCTTGGCAACCTGTTTGTTAGACATGTGATCCTTTGTTGACCTTCATTTGTCTCTGTGTGTACACTTAAGTATCTCCTTATGTTTACAGAGTAACAATGGGATATTGATTTCTTTTTCCTGTGATTTGCTTTGCTTTTATCTTGTACAAGTAATAATAGTTTTTCCCGTGCCTTCTTTCTTTGATGACATGGGGTTGTACCTTTGCCCACGTGGCTTGTCTATTTGTTTACTAAAATTCGCTTGGCAATATATTTGAGGGTGAAAAGGGCATGAGTCACTGATCTTTCCTTAAGTGGACATAAGATACACCGCATCTTGTGGGGAGAGACGTATCAGAGTACACACTTTAGCTGCTCCTGTGGTTTCAGATCTGGGAGAGATGTACCGACAAGCCGACACTGGTGCCATCGTTTCTTTGTTTTCTCGATTAGGTAAGGCTATGAAAATTGTGTGGCACAGATGTAATTTGTGATGGTTGATCTTTCTTTCAGGTGGATTCTTTGTAATTCTAATCTATTGATAATTTGCAGCAATTGAGAAAACTTTGGCCCATAAGCTTGAAGATGCAAGAAACTCTGTACAACAAAGGATTGTAAAAGCACTGAGAGAGTACCGCAATCTTTATGCTGTGCAGCATCGTTTGGGAGCTCGAATGATTTATCCTGATTCTTTGAAGTTCTTGCCTTTGTATGGATTATCACTTTGTAAATCAATACCTCTAAGAGGGGGGTATGCTGATGCTCAGCTTGATGAACGCTGTGCAGCAGGTTTCACCATGATGGCTTTACCCGTTAAAAAGTTATTGAAACTCTTATATCCTAGCTTGATTCGAGTTGACGAGTATCTTTTGAAGGTAAAAGAAATTTGTGCATTTGAATTTTTTGTGATGTAGATTTTAACATGGCAACTTTATGTCGTACTGCAGCCATCTTCCCAAGTCGATTTTGAAAACATTATGAAGAGATTAACACTGATTGGAGAGAGCTTAGATTCAAGAGGCCTTTATATATATGATGATGGTTTTCGCTTCATCCTATGGTTTGGTAGAATGCTGTCACCTGATATATCTAGGAATTTACTTGGAACAGACTTTGCTGCAGAATTATCAAAGGTATGATTTGCTGGGTGTGATGAGTATGTTTTCCTCCTGTGTTTAAATTCATTACCAGAATAACTTATCTTTCATGTCTGTTACCATCAACCTGTTACTTTGCCTGCACTGACTAGGTTGTTTGTTTTTGTTTTGAGAATCAGGTTATCCTTAGTGAGCATGATAATGAAATGTCAAGAAGGCTAATGGGGATACTGAAGAAATTAAGAGAGAGTGACCCTTCTTATTATCTACTTCCTTGTCTTGTCAGACAAGGTGAACAGCCCAGAGAAGGGTTGCTGCTTCTTGCAAATCTTGTTGAGGATCCGATTGGGGGTACCAATGGTTATCTTGACTGGATTTTGCAAATACACCGGCAAGTCCAGCAAATTGCATGAAATACAGGTAATTTCTAGGTCACTTCAAAATTTGATTAACATCATTTTATGCTTAAAGTCAAAATGTAATGTGAAAATCCCTCCAGCTCATGAAATCTCATGTTGATCATAATTTTTCAAAACATTATGTATCTTTTGTGTATGATGAGATGATATCTACTAGAATCAAGCGGCTGGACAGTTAAATCTTTCTGCATGATTTTTTGTTCCTGGTGACTTATTACTTTCATAATGTTCTAGGAAATGTTGATTGTTATTTGTATCCCAACGACATCTTCATTTCTTAGGGGGTTTATCAATTGCAAGTTTATGTCCCATCCGTGAAGTGAGTCAAACGACAACTAATCTTCACTCAACTGGTGGATTCCTGCAAAGCCTCGGTGTCAAGTTCGATGATGGGGGAACTCTTTCAGGCAACTATTTATTTGTTCATTACGTGATACAATAACTGAGGAAGATAGTTTACTCAAGAGAGCACTCAGCTGATGTTTCCCAAGACACAAATTTTTGTATGAGACCAATTGATTTGAGCCATTTTTGTGTCATAGTTTTTCTTTGTTGTTTAAAACCTTGGGGATCATTTTGTTTAGGGAGGGGTGAGTGATTGTTAAAGTCATATATGCTCAATGTGGAATATGATTCTGATTTTTTAAGCTGTTATATTTAACATTTTATATGCTACGTACCTTATGCTAAAATAAAAGGTCAATAGGAGTAGAGTAGGTGTGGAAATTGGGATTTTTGAGAATTAGATATTTGCTTATTTTAATATGCTCAATGTGGAATATGATTCTGATTTTTTAAGCTGTTATATTTAACATTTTATATACTACCTACCTTATGCTAAAATAAAGGGTTAATAGGAGTAGAGTAGGTGTGGAAATTGGGATTTTTGAGAATTAGATATTTGCTTATTTTAATGATGGGTTTAAAGCTTGTGGCAGGATATTAGGAAATTAAGATATTTTGCAATTAAAATTGAACATTTTTATCTTAATATCATTAAGAATATAAAAAATTATGATAGTTTGACATTAAAATTATTAAAATGTTTAATTTCAATTATAAAACAAATATAATATAATATAAATTTCACATCAATCTTGTTCATCATGTAACTAAAATTAGAGATTGTGATACTTTTATTTTTAACATATTATGATATTCACTTTTATGATATTATTATTTAAATTAAAAACTTGGGATGAATTTCCATTTTTGGTATTAGAAGTTGAGAAATACAAACTCTTAACACCAATGCAAAAGCTATTGATGTCTTCAGAAGCTGGCTAAGCACCTCTTTGGGGGTGTGTCTTCGCAATTTAAATGATTTTTATTGTACTCCTATCTTTTTTTAATTAAACTAATAATTAAGCCTATCTAGTCCGGTTAATAAAAAAAGGGAAAAAATAGTTAACCCTATCTAGTCGGTTGATCAAAGAAAGGAAAAAATTAATTAAGCCAATTTGTCGGTTGATGAAAAAATGGAAAAAATAGTCAATCTTATCTAGTATCATGCATACTTTTTTTTTTTTTTTTGACAAGAGGAAAAATTATTAGTGGTTAATATCTGTTTTAAGGTCATCATTAAAGTCAAACTTGGGTGAGCTCTACTTGTTACTCGTGGAGTAGTGTGGTCCATTCACTAAGCTACATTGGGGAGTTCCTAGTATCATGTATACTTATTATCTACACGAACCAAATTAAGAAGGATAAAGAAAATAATTTATTTCTACATAGCATCACAATTTTTTTTTTTTTAATTTTGATTACACAATAAAAAGTAATTATTTTTCATCTCTTATCCTACCTCACCGCATGTCATGCGATTCGAATTCAAGATCTTTTATTTCTAACAAAAGAAGATAATCATTGAGTTATTTAATTCATTAGCCACGATTCAAATCTAAGGTTATCAAATTCAATATAAATGCTGCAAATTTTCATTGAAAAAGCAATAGTAAATACAGCATGATAAAAATTTACATGATACAGTCAAGATGACCTGTTTGGAAATGGAAAAGGTGCTGAGGGGTAAAGGAGGCTCCATTGCCCATGTGATGATCAGGTGAGAGGAAAGTGAAATTTTGATTCAGAGTTTTTATATAGTCTTAGACGATGGTGCAACCCCCTGATTGGCAGGGTTCATAAACAGGAACCACTTTAAACATGTCGACCTGAGGCTGATGACAACATATGAATTTGCATTCAGGTTCTTTCTTTTTGTCCTCCTTTGGTTTGATTTTTTCTACTGTTTCCAGGATTGCATGGCAAAGTTTCTTTCTCAAAGACTTAGTCAAGCAGGCTGCATCCACTCCATCCCCCTCTATCACCAGCTTGTCTTTGTCTGGCCCCTGCAATGCCACTGATGTCACACCTGTTGAGTTCATATGCCATTTCTGTTTTTGTCAAATTCGTTTTGTTATGTATACACAGATAGTCCTAGAAGATTGAACATGAATGAACCTACCTTCTGCTGCTGCAGCTATCTTGAGGGCCTTTGTCCGGCACTTTTCGCAGTTCATTGACACCTTAATCACTATCTTTTGCTGCACCATCAAAGCAGAACAAACAAAAAGGAAACAAACATATAATTGCATATCATCAAAAGATACTCATTGTTTCAGAAGATTAGACTAGCCATATATCTTGTACTTAAAAAAGTTTTAGGATTCCAATGTTTCACAGTAGAGAACAAAAGAAAGAAAAAAAAAAAAAAAGAGTTTTCTTTAATTTTTCTTTATACTCTATAGCTCTACCTTCATGTTGCCTGATATCCACCCAACACTATGATGCCAATGGATGGAATGCAATGAAATGCAAGGCAATGTTGTATTGTATATAAAGAAGAAGCAACTGGCTTGACTTTTGCATTTTTATTTCTTATGACCTCATTGGATTGGATCAAATCCAAGGCTGATAGGGATTAAATTACTTTGTAGTAGTAGCAGATGGCATTGAAACTTTGAGGGTTTGAGTTTGAGTCTTATCTATCCATGCATGTGTGACGTTCCTTCCAAAGATAAAATTTTTAATAAGATCCACCTTTTCTGGGTCCAGAGACAAGGGTCATTTAATTATGCAAGCTAAGCTGTTGTTATTGAAATATTGAGTCCATCAATGGAAACAAAATTGATCATCTGTACGTTGAGATTATTAAAAGGGAGTTAACAGCGAAATTTCAACAATCATGTGATAGAATATTCTGTTGGAGGCTCTACTTGGGGAGGGGATGAACCCTTAAACAATCTTCAAACACATCAATTAAGCCAATTTAAAATATGGATAACAACAAGTCTTACATTAAACGGCAAGCGATGGTCTCATAGTTTATGGTATGATAATTTTCTATGATGCATTGATCTTACGCTAATTGCCAACCTTAGTAGTTGGCCTTTAGTGAGTGATAGGCTCGTACCTATTGAGAAAATATTGATTTTGTAAAAACTATTCAACTAACCAACTCTAAATTAAGTTGTTTTTTGTCACCCAGTAAAACGCATGCA